AACTAAATGTACGTGTACCCCATATAGCAGCACCGTAACTAATTACTGGCCACACTGTACTCTCATACAGTTTTGTAAAGGTTTCATTTGGTAAGCCTCCCATTGATTTAGATTTGGCCACAAGTTTTGCCGTTACATTAAAATCCAAGTGTTCCCTAAATGTAAGACCCAGGTATGTATACTGGCTACGTATTTCTAGGGCTAGCTTCCCACACGAAAACATACTATCACTGACTGTTACAGACGTTGGACGGAAATGAACAATAGCCGACTTATCAGCGTTCATATTTAGTTTATTTGATTCACACCAAGTATTTAGACCATTTAGTAATAACTGGAGACCACGCTCAGTACTAGCCATGATCACCAGATCATCTTCATAGAGTAGGGCACATATTTTACGCTCCGTTACCTCTATATCAACCCATAACTATTCAAATATGTTATAAGGTCATTAATATGCAAGTTGAATAAAATCGGTGATAAAGTACATCCTTGTTTTAAACCGCACGTGACGTCAAACCACTCCGTCCTTAATCCATTTACTCTCACACAGCCTTGTACATTTTTTTATAAAGACTTTATAGCTGAAAAGAGGTTACCAGTAAATCCTAGTTTATTTAGTTTACGAAATAACTAAGGCCTGTTTATACTGTCCTACTCAGAGCAAATGCTTAGACGACCTGACGTCTTGCTCGCCAAAATTTGCGGCGGCCATTTTTGAAAAGTGACTCAAGTTATCCACAAAAAGAGGCGGTCCGGAGGTGTTCTTAATAAGAAAAATACATTCTATTTTCGGTCCAGATCAGTACGGTTTGTTGATAAGTCACCCCCTGTTATTGAATAACATACATAATTAATCCTGTTAAGTGACTATTGCATTTCTGTCATTTTTCATTCTTTTATATATGTCTGTTTCACTCACACATGTTTCCAAAAACAGAAAGGGTAGTTAGTTTATAGATGATTTTTCTACAATTTTAATGATGAAATGAGTTCCTCCTGAGGAGGTAAACGGTGTGTTGGATGCTATCTAAATGAATATGTTTTTTGTTTTTTTTACATAAGTGGTTAATCTAGTGACTGTAAATGATATACATCTAGAGTCACATAAAAATGGTTCGTACTTTTGGCTTAAGGACTACAACACAGAAGAGATCACTTTCAAAAACTAACCCGGCCATCCCCTTTTAAAATCCTTTAACCAGAGACATATAACATGTACTATACTAAAGTGTATGAACTGCGTATATACTGGTTTTTACGCCTCTGTTTTAACCGCCCGATGTTTATTTTTTAAAACAAAACTTTTTTAAACAAAGTGTCTGATCAGAGACGTATATGTTTCTGGTCTGAGGTGCTGACAAAAAAAAACCCGGCAAATAATAAACTTTTTGTTATTAAATTGATCTTTGGAAAATTTGATGAACACCTTTATACAACACAAAACAATTGATTAAAAAATCAATTGATCTAAATTGATCAAATTAACGTAGTCGCACTAAGAGAATATGATATATACGTCTCTGGCGCACCGCACCCCTTTCTTTACAAAATGTAGATATACGATTGGAATTGACAAAAAATGCACCGGTACAATAGTTAATACTCAAAATGAACAGCAACCCTTGTTTTTTCACTCCCAGTCGTAAAATTTGAAACGTTTTTATTCTGTATGCAATCCAAGGAATCCAAGCACACACCACTTCTAAGAATATTGCAGAGGGAGAACCTGTCCGTTCAAGTCTCACAAAGATTAGTAATTTATCGATGAACCACCTGATCAGATATATAGCATGGTCCATCATTAATTGGCTCGTTTCTGACTTTCATCTGTCGAGTGATGCAGCTGTACTGATTGTGGTTTGCATATAATGTGACTCTGTGACAGCACTTACGCATTTCATTTATTTATATTTTTCTTGAAATTGATCCTTATACCAGAGACGTTAATTTGACTCAATTTTCCCCCGTTATCTCACCTGAGGACATTGTTGTTAAATTGAAAATTGGAAGACACATAATCTACACCAATCTACATACTAACTTCAGGACCCCCTTGACCATCTGCTGGCATCCCTTTGATGTCATACCTGTACACAGGTATATAGGTGTATCGTGGGCCTCCTGCTGTCAGCGCTGTTTACATGTGTTTAGTGTTTTTACCTGTACATACATTTCATAACCAGGTATGCTAAGGGAGTGGATCGAGATGATTTTCATTATTTAACGAAGATTTTAAAATAAAAGTTGTGTAGGTTACATGTATAGGGAAAAACAAAACAAAAAATGTTTAATCTCGTAATTCAATGATATTTTCGAGATAAATGAAATTCTGGAATTAGATTATAATAGTCCGTGATCTAGTTTAGCATCGCATACACAGGTAGTGTATTGTATACAATCAAATGTTTGAAATGTCGACCAAACTTAAGGAAGACACAATGTCGTGGATTTGTCATTAAACGTTAATACTAAAAATATTGACATTTAAAAACAGCAGACACCAACGTTAGAGTTATTTTGTAAACATTTTCACTGATACCTTTTCGTATTTTTTGACCATAGAGGTACCACAGCATATCTCACAAAGATTAGTAATTTATCGATGAACCACCTGATCAGATATATAGCATGGTCCATCATTAATTGGCTCGTTTCTGACTTTCATCTGTCGAGTGATGCAGCTGTACTGACTGTGGTTTGCATATAATGTGACTCTGTGACAGCACTTACGCATTTCATTTATTTATATTTTTCTTGAAATTGATCCTTATACCAGAGACGTTAATTTGACTCAATTTTCCCCCGTTATCTCACCTGAGGACATTGTTGTTAAATTGAAAATTGGAAGACACATAATCTACACCAATCTACATACTAAATTCAGGACCCCCTTGACCATCTGCTGGCACCCCTTTGATGTCATACCTGTACACAGGTATATAGGTGTATCGTGGGCCTCCTGCTGTCAGCGCTGTTTACAGGTGTTTAGTGTTTTTACCTGTACACACATTTCATAACCAGGTATGCTAAGGGAGTGGATCGAGATGATTTTCATTATTTAACCAAGATTTTAAAATAAAAGTTGTGTAGGCTACAAGTATAGGGAAAAACAAAACAAAAAATCCTTAATCTCGTAATTCAATGATATTTTCGAGATAAATGAAATTCTGGAATTAGATTATAATAGTCCGTGATCTAGTTTAGCATCGCATACACAGGTACTGTATTGTATACAATCAAATGTTTGAAATGTCGACCAAACTTAAGGAAGACACAATGTCGTGGATTTGTCATTAAACGTTGATACAAAAAATATTGACATTTAAAAACAGCAGACACCAACGTTAGAGTTATTTTGTAAACATTTTCACTGATACCTTTTCGTATTTTTGACCATAGAGGTACCACAGTATATAACTCTTTTTCAATTTAAATATTCCGTTACAGAAACTGGTCAGGACGTAGTGCTGTTTCAATGACGACATGATTGGATAAGATCTCTCTGTATAGCAGAAACATATAAAGTATATACGGGTCTATGTAGAATAGAGAAAATGTTTAGGAAATATCGCAACGGTGACATCGGGATGTCACGTTTGTCGAATGCGTAGAACCTGAGTAGAATCAAGTATACATGTATTATAATATTCTCCGATTTTTCTTTTTTAAACACAAGAGCACCGGGATCAATATAAATCAACAAAACAATCTACACAAATTCATATTTGTAACTCCATTTTTTTTTTATCACAATCGATAACTACGTGCGTGGAACCTTTTAAACGTTTGGCATCGGCTCGAGTTCTAGACCTATTTGGACACTAGACTCTTAAAATAATCCCTTAATAAATGTTGTAGCGACATCATACTCCTTTTAACAAAATTTGAACTAAGCCATGCTAAATTTGATCAAAATCTAACAACATCTGATTGCTGATCATTCAACATCTCTTTTACTACGTTTCTATCTACACAGATAGATCCGAGCGCCTACCATCGTACCATCTTCATAGTTTTCATGTTCTATTGATATTTACTCTGCTTATCTCTTTTCTGTTGGAATAAGTCACGTAAACAATTTGTTAAATTATAGCACGGAATTAGATTAGAGGGAAAGGCAACTGCCTCTTTGGTATAGGAAATATGATCTGGGCACTCTGCTGTTGCGAGAAACTGCGAGAAAGCGCGAGAATGTACGTGCTTTAGGGAAAACCCCGCCGCTTCAATCTTTTTGGAAATTGATTGCCGGTGACAACTGATACATTCTGGTGAATCCTGTACGGTAAAATTGTCCGGAGTTCAAAGTAAGTGATCTTTGCTTTACTTATGTCTAAACTGAATAGTCTTTGTTGTGTCGAATAACAGTAACATGTCGCAGAATGCGAAAGTTTATAGTGATCAAACACCGTTGCCAACTTGAATAATGTTATGGCTTCACACACGCCATTAACAGATTAAACGCCGGATCTATGAGAAAACTACTTGCTAACAATGAGATAATTAGACATACGGAATAAACATTATTGCTTTTAAAAATGTGTTCGTGCCTGTTAGGTGGTTTGAAATTTAACCCATAGCTCTGAAATTGTAGTATTTGTATTCTGAAAACGGTTGTTGATTGGTGTGTTTTTAATAATGGTGCTCAGAGTCCCTGAGAAGGACGCTTGCCGATGAACTTACTGACATCTCATCCTTCAGTGCAGATGAAACAGTCCAGCTGTTACTTGACAGTAATTCTCACCCACAGATGGTCGTACAAACATTGAACAGATTAGTGGTGGACTTTGCTTTGTCTTACATAGTGCACGTTCAAACCTATTGTGCTAATAGGAGCCATGGGTGTGCGATCAACTCTCACCAGAGACTAGAAGATCACAGATCTTCGTTTTTATCATAATATGTTTTTATAATTGTGTGATAGGACTTTATGTGGAACCATTAACCTCAAGTGGATCTGCAGTTCTCCAAGAAGTGGAGGAACCTACAACAACAACAANCTCAGGACTTATTCGAACTGGATGTAGCTTCTTTAATAATTGTTCTCTTTCTAACACAGCTGACACATCTAAATGTCTTGAGAAACACAAATATATAAAGTTACCAAACAAGTGTTCTTTGGAGTAAAGTCACAAAAAGCTTAAGCACTTCTTTCAAATAAGTTGAATATCATCAATCTTTTAGGAATATATTGATGATTTAAGTGATGCTGAAAATTGTTGCTGACAACATAATAGCTTTAACGAGTGGGCTTGGTACATGTAGAACAACAGATCTGAGCTAGTGGTGCTGTCAACAGGAACACTGGTGCTGGAGCTGTCCCTGGAACAGCAAGTTTCATTTTGGTTAGCTGAAAAAGATGGAATTCAAATTTAAATCATACTGGTGCCTAATTATTTGAATACCATGGACTTGCTATATATAGTTTCTGGAACCAGAAAAATGATACTACAATGTGTAATATTTTGGTTACAGCAAAGACATTAAATATCAAATAGACATGTCCTTTCGCAGAATCAACGCTCATTTTATGGAGGCAATCATTTTTCAATAGTCATTAAATATTGACAAAATGCTGAATATTGAAACAAGATTAAATGAAATTCAAAATTTCAATGAATTATTTTGTCCATTTTTTGGAAATCTGGTTTAGACTAACGTTTATATTTAAAGCCTGATTCATAGTGCTGGGACAGAAGTTTATGTCACATTTTTTTTAACGCAGAATACATATAGAAAAAAAGAGGAGCTGCGAAAATGCACCATGTGGAGTAATTGCGAATACGTTGCTCCAAAATATGTATATGATATACATATTCTTGCTAATGATTGACATTTAATTCAATGAATTCATTAGAATTAGCCCCGTGCTGTAATGTAACTTGCTGTGATGTTATCAGATTTAGCTGAAATCATGTCACAATATCGATGACGACAAAGGATATACATGTATGTGGAGCCAAGATGGATGAATTCAGGTTTGAAAAATGCCTTTGATTGTTGCCTAGAAATATAAACTTATGAAAGTATTCTATTTTTTAGGTACATCTAGTATATTAAATAACCTATCTCAAAATTTCGAGAATAACATACAAAGGTAAAAGGTCAGCTGATGTTTCTGTATTTTTCTTATAAATGGTTTAAATTTAAAATGATGTAATAGGACAAAGTTATTGTTAAAAGTTAACCCTTTAAGTCACTTCTCCCACAGGGGTTTCGTTACAAAATACACATAACGTTATACCATACTGATATAGGTCACAGTCAACATAAACATGTAACGAACCACTGTGCTGTGTATGCCCTCGAAATATAGCTGCCTATAGCCAGAGACGTCTTTTATCACCTCCGAAATATTAAGTTTTACATTCATTATCAGTAAATTCTTTCATTAAAATGTCTAAATCTAAATAACTATCACGGGATAAAAAGTCAGTCATATTTGACTATGATGTATCATCCAATCAGATACTTACCTGATGCTGCTTGACATAAACAGATAAGCTTGCGACATCATCACTTGTATGCATTCGTTTTCTATTGTTTTAGTCATGGTTGTTACACTGTGTACTGATCTGTCAAAATCAGTGTCACAATCGGTCTCTCATCACCTAGGTAAACAACGTGGTTATCGATACCGGAAACTTGTCTGTTAAGTCGCACGCAAGCGCAGTACAGGTAAATTGGCTCCAGCGAGAGGGTCACAAGTCGTCACGGTTCGGTGCACAAATACAAGAGGTGGACAACACATACGCGAGACGAGAGTGGTGTTGTCAATATCTGTTATCTAAGTCCGTGCTTATAGAAAATTTTCATAATTTGTTTAAACTGATTTGTATGACATTGAAATTTCAAAGTCAGGTTGTTGTGCTACATATTTACTATATGGTGCCTAATCTGTAAGAAGGAGAACCTAAATTTGAATTTCAGGACAGATCTGTCTAGTATTTGTCAATAAATATGGATAACACACTGTAACTGTCAAAATCAAGTATGGATGCCTTTGCGACCATTTTGCTTTTTCTAAACAGCCTTAATATGAAACTTGCACAACAAAGCCATATGAAAGTAAACATACGAAAACGTATTAAGATTTATCAAGTACTTATTGAGAAATAGCGCTAACAACCTTTCAATCTCTTAATTCAAAATAGCAGTCTTTCACCTATCGTGATATCCTGATAAGACCCTTTAATGCATAACAGAAGACCACGGGAAACCTTCATGTCACATTTGATAAAGATCCTCTCATTACTTTCTGTGAAATGATGTTAACATACCTAAGCTCTCAACATTCCAAATGGCCGCTCGTCAGCCAACTTGGTTTTAAAAAGACACAAAGTTTGACATTCATAACAAGAGACCAGAAAGATCCCTCGAATACTTTCTGAGAAATAGCACTAACACTATTCATCTTAATCTCAAATTCAAATAAGAGACCCAGAGGGCCTGTATCGCTCACCTGAATATGTTTAAAATNGACTTCAAAGAATAACTTGCTATGTTTTCCCTATTGGGCCCCGCACCTCAGGCCCCTGGGGGGCCACACACATGGTTTATACAAAATTGGTTCCCCTTCTCCCAAGGATGCTCCACACTAAATATTGACCAAATCCTTTTATTCCTACGGAAGAAGAAGGATTTCAAAGAATAACTTGCTATGTTTTCCTTATTGGGCCCCGCCCCTCAGGCCCCTGGGGGGCCACACACATGGTTTATACAAAATTGGTTCCCCTTCTCCCAAGGATGCTTCAGACTAAATATGGAACAAATCCTTTCATTCCTACAGAAGAAGAAGGATTTTAAAGAATTTGCTATATTTCCCCTATTGGGCTCCACCCCTCAGCCCCCAGGGGGGCCAGACCCACCATTTATACAAAATGGGTTCCCCTTTATCCAAGGATGCTCCACACAAAATATGGACCAAATCCTTTCATTCCTATAAAAGAAGGATTTTAAAGAATAATTTGCTATGTTTCCCCTTATTGGGCCCAACCTGTCAGGTCCCTTGGGGTCAAACCCACGGTTTATACAAAATTGGTTCCCCTTCACCTAAGGATGCTTCAGACTAAATATGGAACAAATCCTTTCGTTCCTACGGAAGAAGAAGGATTTTAAAGAATTTGCTATATTCCCCCATTCGGCCCCGCCCCTCAGCCCCCGGGGAGAAGAGACCCACCATTTATATAAAATTTGTTCCCCTTTCCCAAGGGATGCTTCTGACTAAATTTGGTCAAAATCTGCTCAGTCGTTCATGACTTGTAGCGATTATTAGGAAAAGATGACGGACGGACGACGGACGGACGCTGCGGTATGGCATACATTCACCATGGTCCTTCGGACCAGGTGAGCTAAAAACATGAAGCCGCCTATCGGCCATCTTTGTTTTCATGTCAGATCCCAAATTCGATATGCGTAACTACAGACCTTAAGAACATTCGTGTTTAACTTCAGAAAAAACAACCTAGTTTTTTCTAAAAAATGGCGTTAACAATCTATCAACATTCAAAACGGATATCTGTTGGTGGTAATTTAACACGGTGTAAATTATTGCTGTGATACCACCTGTATATACTTTCTACGTAAAGTTAACGAATATAGATTAACGAATAACTGTAAAGTAAACGAATCACGAATAACTGCCTTGTCTAACTTTACTTCCGCCCCCCCCCCCCCTTCAGAAAAGTGAAGTCCCAAACATGTCCAAAATTTACAATCTAGAAATCATTTTTAAATCCATATTGTCCTTGTTAGACCCCATATGAACATTCGTGCCAAAAATTAGGACAATAACACATGATGTGACTGAACTGTAGACCACTGAAGAAACTTGCACCTAAACTTTTGAACGGACGGACGGACGGACGGACGGACGCAAACGCTATAACATAATACGTCAATCGAAATTCGACGGGCGTATAAAAAGGAAATAAGCAATCGGGAATCTAAAGAAGCCTCTTGGAGACGACGGAGTTTAAGAAAAACTAAAACACCTGAAACACCTGTAAGCATATCATCTCTGTTTGGTATGCCTTTGTCCTTTTAATCCGAAAATTATGTCTTTTATACTCCTTCTCCTTCTTTTTATAGTGTTGGATCACCACTCCTTCTCCTTAACCCTCAATTGAACTGACACAATATCCTTTCATGGTTATCTATTTATCTTTTACTTTATAGATTTAACAACATTTACCGTGTCATTTTCTTTAAATCACACACAAACTTTATAAAGTTCAGATAATTATAATTCTGTATTTGCGAGCTCATTATACTATTGTATCGGAAATGCTACTTTTTGTAAACCAAATATCTTGAAACATTTTAACTCGCCTATTCGGAGAATATTGGGGCCTATTGTAGTCACCCCGGCGTCGGCGTCGACGTCACACCTTCTGAGGTTAAAGTTTATGGGCAAGTTTTTTCTCTCCAAAAAGTGTTGTATCATCACACTAAAACACAGTTGTGTATTATGAGGTTAAGTCATTGCTATCGAGTGTGAGCATTGTGCTGGACCATATTTTCATATTTTAGGGGCCAAAAGCAGCTTAATTGAACATGGTTAAAGTTTTGGGACAAGCTTGAGGTTAAAGTATTTGGGCAAGTATTTTGTGAAGTGTTGGATCACCACCATCAAAAGGCTGTTGTCTTTTATATGGTTGGTGTATTTATATGGAGTGTAAGCAATGTGGTGCAACATATTTTCATATTTTAGGGGCTAAAAACAGCTTCATTGGACCTGGTTAAATTTGTTGAGGCTTGAGGTTCCAGTTTTTGGGCGAGTTTCTTTTTATAGTGTTGGATCACCACTATCAAATGGCTATTGTCTATTATAAGGTTGAAGTATTTATATGGAGTGTTAGCAATGTTTTGGAACATTTGTTTTTATGGATTTTGCTATCTTACAACGTAAATCATCAATAGACGAGCTATGCTGTTCTCCAACAGTTCTTGTTATTGATTTCGAAACTATATATAGTAACTTAATCGGGATATAATATGAATGAAATATGGTTTCACTGTATTATTTTAACGTTTTAAGGTGAGTTGCATCAAATGCATTTCAAGAAAAAAAAATTCAACGTTTTTTTTTTTTATATATTTGCCTTTGAATAAAGCAATGTTTTATTTATCGAAATCATTGATTTTAAGTTACAATTTATATTGTATTCATATCAAATTATCCGCCATATCACAAGGATGTTTTGTAATGAACATAAGAGATTTTGATAATATTTGAACAAAACCCAAAATTCATTATTGCATCATCAAAAATGTTCAGTTTTATAAAAATGATATCAAAGTTTTATGAAAGGGGTTCGTATTTCCGAATTAAACATTGACTCTGCTTTTATTCAAAGTTCCTTCAAATAAAAGCTTATCTACTTATATAACAATGTAAATACAATACGTGATGCTATTTGCAGTGATACGTTTTAATATAACCCTCAACATGTTTCGTTGCATTTTTAATGCATGTTCATTTGTTTAACTAAACGTTATTCACTTTATCCCTCTTAAAGCTAGAGGAGTATTTGCCCTCGGGTTGTTCACGAAGGGAGTTTCTTCATGAGTATGCCGGGGAAATTATTGACGGAAATGACGCATGATATGTAGAAGATATGAACTACACTTTTCACTTTCTTTTTAAAGGGAATAAGGCATGGTAAGTATCTAGTCATTGAAATTGAGGAAAAACACTAATAACGTGCATTGTAGGTACATCAACTGTGATTCGGAATTTAAATCGATGTAGCATACAAAATTTAAGTCTTACGTTTCTTTCTTAAGTATCGATACGACGATAGAAATAACCACAGGTGCAAGTGTAGGTCGACATGTAAACCATGCGAAACGTGGTATCGCCAATTCCAATGAGATCGATGGACTTCAATGGACAACCGCGACTCTGTCTCTGCAGCCTTAGGTAGGTTAAGTTATTATTATTTAATTGCCTATGACTACAAACCATGTTAATGCTATTATAATATGTACATTATGTTGTTTTATTAATTAACAGGTATATTGCACCAGGGAAGACTTGATATACGATTACGGTATCCAGAATTTTGCATGCGAGCAAAAGAATAAAGAGGTGAATATTTCACAATAATTTGTAATACGTACACAGTATTTACAAACTACAAAAAAAGTGGAATATCACATTGTTGATATACATCCTTATATAGCACTTTTATATCGACATGACAATAGTATTTTATTTTAGCATGACAAATGTGAACTCTTTTATGCAACAAAGGAGTATTTTGAGGCTTAGAATTTGTGATCGAATAGTGATACACTTATACATACAAAAGATATCCAATAAATATGTTTAACCATAGAACAGGAGATGCATGCTTGTTTGTGGTTCAATGTCCTATCGCCAGGTTTGGAGGTTTGTATGGGAAAGTTAAGAAACAATGAAAACAAATTGGATTAGTTTTGTTGTATAAATGAATCAATGTTCAATCACAATTCCTTACGCATATTTTTTAAGTTAGAGAGCAAAACAACATTTAAAAGTAGAACACATAACAACTTTGACATTGTATTATAGATTGTTTTAAGTGT